AAGCTGTAGGATCTGGCCTGGAGAGCTGGCGGCGCTTCATGGCTGATGCTCTTCGTCCTCTTCCGGCACTCAACAGCCAGCCGGCTTCGGCAGGCCTTATGGCAGTTGACCCCGCAGGCTGCAGTGGGAATGTTCGCGCCATGGGAGAAAGATGGAGGCAGGGACAGGTTTCGGGAGAGGAGGAGAGGACGGGGGGATCGGAAGGGAGGGAGGGACAATCGGCGAGAGAGCAGGCGAGACAGGAAGAAAGGATGAGAGGGCCAGGGGCGAGAGGAAGATGGAGGTGGAGAAGAAGGGTCAGACAAAGGGACGGGTGCAAACTGATGAAACGGGGCAAACGGGAGAGCTAGCGGTGACAGTAAAGTGCTTCGACATGCTGTGCAGACACACGAACACTGGCACATGCACACGGTAAGGCCGACTGTGCCCGACAACAGCTCTGTCAGCTGTGGGTAGTCTACAAGGAGAGGAGCGATGGGTCACCCAGCAAGGCAGCAGGAAAGCACCTGAGTTACTGGAATCCACGGCAACAGAAATCTTTCCTGGTTCATTTCTTCACTGTCAGTGTTCAGATAAGCATCATATCAAGAGAAGAAAACAGTAACAACCTACATAGTGGCAATATAACTAATTTTGATCATACTGGATTTTTTTATAATGCTTATTTCTTTAACTCCTTATGAATTTTTCATTCTAAAATAATTATCACAGATATTGTCAGTTCCCAAATAATGACACATACCTATCAGTCTTTGCTTAAACTCTCATGTACTCTCATGTCTTTCCAATGTATATGAACCTATAAATGTTGCTACTTTTCCCAGTCTTCATGCTATGGTGAGCAAAGCAGCTGGGGGATGACAATTCAAATTTAGCAGGAAGATCTTAGAGCAGTCTTAAGGTCTAAAGCAAAAAAAAAAGAAGCCTACTTGCTAAAATGTCAAACTGATAGAAAGAAGCAAAGATGTTTCTGTGATATGGATGTTAGAATGCTGGCATGAGCACAGCCCCACATCTGTTCAGACAGTGAGAGGTTTCTGATTCAAATCTCAGTAGCTGACATCTACTACCCCATTACACACACCAGACAACCCACACACATCAAGAGCGCTCCTGCACTGCACTGCACTGCAGTGGGTGATTCATTTCAATTATGTGCCTGCCGGTCTGTCTACCTCCCTGAGTTTGGGCTAACAATGGTAATGGGGATGAATGGCTGTGGGGCTCTCTCATTGACTTCCCCTGGTCTCATTAATGGAACAAGCCAGAACTAAAACTCTCAGTCAGGCTCACAGAATGCACTCCTGTAGAGTGGAGAGGACACGGGAGAGTGTGAGGGTCAGTGGTGTGTATGTGTGTCTGTATACACAGTGCAAAGAAATGCATCAATCTCTCTGTGTGGATCTGCTTGTGTTATTTTTTTTAAAGCAATCACATGCTTGTCTTTGTATTTTAATAACAAACACAAGTTAAAGATTTAAAGCTCCTTACATAACTTGCCTCATTCACGCAAGCACTTTTTGCACACTTTTTCTATGTACCAGTCACACAACAGAGAGCAACTTGGTGTTAACATCTTCCCCGAGGATGTTTGACATGTAGATAGGGCTGTGCGATATGACCAAAATCTCATATCCTGATATTAAGACATCTATTGTCCGATAACGATATAAATCACAAAAATGTAACATTTTCTGTAAATTCTGTGAATCTCGGGCAGCTC